CCCAGCAAGATGGAGCTGGGGCTGGAGAGGCTCTGGCCAGGGGCCTTGCCCTCCCCACATGTCTAGGCTTTTCTCGCTTGGCCACGGACCTGTGCAGTCTCAAGCTCTGGCAACTGAAGAGGGGAACTTAGACCGTCTTGGTCCTAAAAACATAAGACTGGGAGAAAAGGAGTTAGAGAATGACAGGGAGACCCGAGGGTGTTAGGGAGAGAAGACTGGTGCCACTCAGAGGACTTTAACGTTTGCGTTCTCATTGACAGGAGCTGGGCATCCGAGAAGAAGTCTCGTTTGTTTCTGGTGTCACCGTAGGTGGCCACCTTTGAATTTTGGTATTTGGAATTTTGGGGTATTTCTTTCTTTCTTTCTTTTTTTTTTTTTATGATGGTGCTGGCACGGGAGAAAAGGGAAGCTGGCCCTGCATCGCCTGCATTTTTTCCTGTTCTCTATACCCCACTCCCTGTCTATTGTAGCTTTCAGCCCTGATTTTGGTCTACTCTGATTGTACAGTGAGACCTGTCTAGTCACAAATAATGGGGATGGGACAAGGTGGCTTAGGAATGAAAGGCCGCCCTGCAGCCCATCTGCGTAAGAGAGAAGCATTGGATACAGGGAACTCTTTTCCCCTTCTCTCACAGGATTCCAAGGGCAGAGATGGAGGCCAGTTGACCTGGGGGAGGTGGATGGTTGGAGAAGGGAGGAAAGATATCTATTCATGGCTGACAGAGGTGAGAAAGGAGAGGTGTGTGAGTTGTGGGGGCTGGGCACCTGGGCAGCTGAAACCACTGTGAGTGGGTGTGTGCCAGGCTTATGCCAGGGCATAAGCCTCAGGAGGTGGTCCTGTTGGAAGTATCTGTGGAGATGTCATCGCGTCTTTCTTAGATGATAGTTTGTGTGTGCACACGTGTGCATGTCTGCATGCACAGCATCCTCACACGATCATGCTTTTGCCTCTCAAGGAGGCCATTTGCTGATGGCCGTCCCTTTAACATCTCTGTTGCCTTGTTCTCACCTCCCTGACTCCATAGGGCTCTTAGGCAAGTGCACAGATTGTGGGTTCAAAGACAATTGGGAGCAGATAGGGGAGGCAACGTTTTCACAGGCCTGAAGAATTCTCAATCTAGCCTCTCAACAGCAGAAAAAAAACAGTCTCCTGCAGAGGGAAGAGTGGCGTCCCCAGGGACAAAATCTTTTGATTATGTCTCCATGCCCTCCAATTTCATTTGCCCATGTGGAAATTTAAAATATATATAATTTTTTCATAGCTTCATCATTTTAATTAATGCCAATTCTTATTTTTATTGGTCACTATTCTTAGACAATGCAAATATGCTATGGCAAAAGAATAATGTATGATAATGTCTATAGTAATGATGCACTTATAAGACAGAATTAATACTTGAACCCACCCTCCTCCAAATGTAGCTTTTATCTGTATAATTAAGGAAATTGACCTGATAATTAAAATAAAGAAAAATATGCTTTTTACTTAATTACTTGACTATTTCAAGAGAATGACTTAATAACAACATGTATTTTGGAACCCAAATTCTAAATATCTGTCCAACAGCTGCATCTGAGATCACAGCTTAGGCCGACCTTCTGTCTGTGGGCCGCTTCGGGCACATAGACAATGGGCAGGCACGAGGGTTGGAGGGTGGGGCGGGGATGGGCACCGGTGAAGGATGCGGTCTCCTAGGCTGAGGCAGTTGCAGGCTCAGACAAGCACCAGGAATGTGGGGTGCTCTCCGCATAGTGCCCCCAAATCTCCTTGGAAGGACTGGGGGTGGGGTCTGCAGACCATGCCCCCTAGAACACTGCAGTGGACTGTGCTGCGTGCGGGAAACAGAGGAAGGAATGGCTCCGACTGAGGCCTTTCTAGGGAGACTGAGGCTGGTGTGCCAAGCACAGGGGTCCTAACGTACCCATTTTGCAACTTCTAGGCCTGCTGTATCCAATTCTAGGTAGTAGAAGGGTCTCTTCTGGTCTAAGGAGCTGCCTAATAGTCACTAACACACGCCACGCGATAGACACAACCTCTCCCCCTTCCTCTCACGCACACCCGCCACAGCTCACGCAGGACACACGTTTTGTCAGTACCCCCTGCACTCATAATTCGCTCACCTTTCATGATGACAATTTGAATATATATGAAATTGCTCTCATTTGCTACCTGACGTAGTTTCTTTTTTGAAAGTGGAGCAACATGGTTTAAATACAAACTGACCCCATGAACATGATGGTGGACGGTGTTCTGCTTCCTTCCTGTCTTATCTCCCATCTCCACTGGGATAAAGACAGAGGCCCTGCTCACCTTCATCCCTGAGCAGAAGTGGTCAGAGGATGGTTGTCAACTCTTTTGTCCACCCAGACAAAGCCAAACAATTACTTTATCAGGAATATGGACAGAGAGGGGGATTCCAGCAGATAGTACCAGGGCAATTTAGATTAATCTCCATTTTCTTTTGTGGGGGCCTCCTTAAATTTGGACTCTCTGCTTAGGCTGAGGTACCTGTGTAAAACCCAAAACTGCAATAAGAGGCAGGGGGATCTAGCTTTATTGAGCTGCTTGGGGAAATTTAAATGTGCCCATTTCTCTCCTGACCTTGGTTTTGAGGAAGTCCAGTTTAGTCTAATTTGGCCAGTCGGGGGGGGGGGTCTCTGCTGGGCAAGGAGACTTTTCTATCCTCCTCCTCCCCAACAAAATATAGCAGTGGCTGGAATGGAAGGTGGTACATGCTGATCCCAGCTGCCTCTTGCTACACTGTCTGGATGGCATAGGCCAAGGTATGGGGCTGTGGGAATAAGGTTGGGCCCCACAGGGGGCAGGAGAATTGGTTAGAAATTGGTGACAGAGAAGAAAGGGGACAATGTTAGCTAGCAGGACAGCCAGCTCTTTCCCACAAGCTGGCCCCAGCCTTCCAGGCTCTGGGTCAGGGGAGGAAGGAGGGGGAGAAAGGTTCACTTAAGCTGCTTTTAAGGGATCTTATGGGAGGGCAAATGGGGAAATCTTTATAGAAGTTGTTGGTGGGTCTAGAGAAGTGTAGACCCTATTTATAATTGCTGAAATGTCTAGAGATTATTTGGTATCCTATAAAGGGTTGTGAGGTGCTGTACTGAGACATATTTGAGGAGGTTTGTAGGCACAAAGAGGAAAGGCAGAGGGACTTATAGTTCCTCCGGGGCCTGGTGTGAGGGATGCACTTAGAGAATGCATTTAGCAGCATCCCAGTAGGGTAGACCTACCTGTGAGAGTGTTTGGGAAGTTTCTGCCTTTCCACAACTGTGCTGGAGCAACAGGGACCGGGATACTCCTCCAGTGCTCCACTCTGAGCTGCAAAGTGGGAGGGGCAGGAGGAAACAAAGTAAAGAGTAGACACTTTGTCTCTTTCTTTCCCTCCCACCATGGCCACTGTGCTTCCAGTTCTGAGACTAAGGGCCCTGAGATGCCCTTGAGGCTGACACAGGGGAAAGCTGCACCAAGCACAGTCCTGAGACTGCCCCAGGCTGGGGGAATCAGGCAGCTCCATGCTGTTGGGGAAACATGGTCCCTGGTCTTCATCCTGTTTTGAAGTGTCCTCCACCTCACAATCACGCAGCAATTATTCAGACAGTCTCCAATCTTTGAGGGAAGCACCAAATGAAACCCAGTGGCCATTGGCTTGTATCTGACCAAGGTGAATGGCATTCAAGCCGGGCTTTGTCCTGGAGTGTACAGAGATAGGACTCTGGGCCAGATGAAACAATACGGCAGAGCCTGATGGCCAAACTGGGGGCGCCCCCGAGTGTGCTCCTGTTGGCGCAGTGTTCGGAGAGCCCTGTTGATAAGAACAGCCCATGCTAAGCAGACAGACAGATTCCAGGTTTCTAAACCGTAAGGTTTTTGTTTTTGTTCCTGGAAAAGGGGCCTAGAGTATATTCGAACTGCTCTCTGGCAGGCACAGCGACTCAGCTAGGCGACAGGCTTTCAGAGCTCTGTCAGACCGCCAGGCCGAGAATCCGAATTCTGCCTGCCGCCTGGCGCCGGCTTTTGCCACCCTGGGTTGGGACGCGGCTTTACACGGCTCTGAATCTCCTGGCCAGATCGGGGAAAGGCCGGAACCTGAAACCTTGGTGGGGAGTGATCTTTCTCCCGGTTACCCCAGCTCCCAGACCCGCGGAGATGGAACTGGGCTGGGGGCCCAGGATTGAGGGAGGAAGTCACACGGGGTAGGGGAAGGAAAGGAAGGCGCTAAAGAGGGCCCCCATAGATGAGTTGAAATCTGCGGGTGTTGCCTAGACTAATGCCAGCCAGGATGCTCCTTCAGCCTCCCCCACCTGGAACCCCGGCGCAGTGAACAGGTTCAAGAGGTATTCCCGCCTCTGTACGACGAACAAGGAGGCCCAGCTTCGCTCGGGCTCCACCTCTCCCAGAGTCTTAAACTTCCAGAATCTTTCCCTCACTGTTTTGGGTTGCAAATCAACCAGAAAAGTTCCCTCCCGTCCTAAAAGATTTGGATCACAGTCTGGGAGGAATCAGAACCCGAGAAGCACAAAGAATATCCTAATGAGAGAAGGCAGTTAGGAAGAGAGTCTCCATCATTTAGCTGTCTTTTTCACCTTTGAGCGCTGATCCTGCTGCAATATACCTAGGGCCAGAATGGAAAATGTAGAACCAAGAAAAAGAGTGAGGTTGGGTATCAAAGCTGCAAATGGCAATGGACTGGGTGGAGATGGCAGGAGGGGGTCGGGGATGAGTGAGGCAGCAAGAGGTTGGGAATCGGCACGCAGACATAGTAGTTCCTCCCCACCCCGCCCTCCACCCATTCTTGGGGGTGGGGTGTCCCAATTGCGCGCTTCAGCTCAAACCCTGCAGGGGAGGGGCGGGGCCAGAGGGGGGGGGGCAACAAGGTGGTGACGTCAGACCTCGGTGAAGCCAATCAGAGGGTGGCTAGGGAGGGCGCACCAAAGGATGAATGAAAAGTCCGGAGCCGGAGCGCGCCGGGGCCAGCGCAGCAGCAGAGGCTGAGGAGGGAGCTGGGGAGGTGAGACCCGTTCTACCTTGCTCGCCTCTGCACGGCGGAGGCTGAGATTCGGGCGGGCGCATCCGCCCGGGCCTTGCTGAGCCCTGGCACCCAGGACCCAGGGCCATGGAGCTCCGTGGGCGGGACAGCGTCTGGGAGCACGGATAGGCGCCTGGGGCTTGATGTAAGTGGCTTGGCCCGCTCAAGGCCCGAGGGGGCCGAGCGCCTCGGCATCGAGAGCGCCTACGCGTCCGCCTCGAGAGGCCGGCCGAGCCCCACTTCTTCCTCCGGGCTCCCGGGACCTTCTGGAGGATTCTCGCTCCGGATCGGAACCGTCGCCCACCCCTAGGGAACCGCTTGCCCAGAACCCCCGGCCATTTTCACTGCCCCGGGTGACTGTTGGAGCCGTTTCTGCGGGGAGTCCTGCAGGGCCTGGGACTCGGCTCACCTGCCCCGCCCGCCCTCCACTTTTCTCCCCGCACTCCATCTCTCGGGAGCTGCCCCGAATCCCTTCTCCGGCAGGGTCTTTGCCCCCTCTTTTCCTCCTAGAGAGTCTTGCTTGGAAGTCCCCGGGCTGCCTTCCACCCCACCCCACCGGCTTCCCTCTGTTGGAGTTGCCGGGATTTCCCTGTCTCCTACTGGGGCGCCTCCCGGGGCTTTACCCCCGGGCTTCGCTGCCAGCTCCCGCTTAGTCGGCGGTGGGATCCAGCCCTTTCCGCCGCAGGAACTCGGCTCCGCTTCCACCGCCTTCGCGAGTTGGGTGACTTGGTGGCGCCGGCCCGGGCCTCCCGCTGCGCCCCCCTCGCAGGGCCCCGCCTAAGGCCAAGGCTCGGGGAGTGCGGTGCGCCCCAGGTCTCCCAGGGGAGGGCGGCGGAGACCCGGTGAGGTCGGGAGGCCTCGCCCCCGTGCCTGCTGCCTGCCCGCGTGGCGCGAAAGCCAGAGGGTGCCTCCGCGCCCGCACCAGCGGGACTCCCACTCCGGTTCGAACGGGGAGCGGGAAGCGCGGCGTTGGAAGCTCTGGGGTCCGGGACCGGGCGGTCCCCGGAATTCGACGCCGCCGCCTATCACGTCCTTTCCACGCCCTTTTCGGTCTCTGCCGTGTCTGCGTCCCCGTGCCTCTGAGTCTTTCAGTCTCGACTCCGTTTTTCTCTCCGTCCCCCACCTGCATCCTCGTTCCCTCCCCCAACCCTCACCAGCGGGCCACCCGGAGGCGGAGGCGGCGGCCGGCAGGCTGCGAGGAAGAGGCAGCGGCGGCCAGGAGGCGGGGTTGGTTGTTATCTTTGGTTATCTAGCTGTATGAGTGGTGTGGAGTCTTCATAAAGCTAGATAACCGAAAGTAAAAATAACCCCATACACTGCGCAGAGGGGCCCCGGGAAAGCGGTCGCATGGGCCGGGAGGCCCGAGCGAGGGCCTAGAGCCGCGGGGACCCACGCACCGGACGCGGCGGCAAGAGGACGCGGTGGCCCCCGAGCCTCAGGACCACACGGGTCCGGGCGACTTCCTGCCTCCCGCGCAGGCCGCAGTCTCGGTCCCATTTCACTTTTGCCAGGTGCAGTGACCTACCGCGCTGAGTCGCGAAACAAAAAAGGGGTCGTGGCTCCCTCTCGATCTGGGGCCTTTCCTGGCAGTCTGTGGATTGGGTCACTGCTGGGGAAGCTGCTCCAAGGGGGAGTCTGTTGAAAGTCTGGTTGCCGGGTTATTCCGGACGGCACCTGGGGCTCCCTGCCCAGGCCTCCTCCCTGGGTTCTGATACTGTCTCCGGCAGGCGGCCCACAGCGGTGGCAGCGGTGGGGCCTGAGAATGCTGTGAGGAGGTGACTTGAGAACGCTGGTCTTGGTTTGTGTGGCTCTCTGAAGCCGCACAGGTCTGTCCAGCTTGGTTGTGAGATGAGAGGGGGGAAGTGGCAACAAGTGGAGACAGGGCTAAGGTACTGGGTCGGGATTTGCTCAGAAAAAGGACGGGATGTAACGGTTTTGCCCAGCCTGGGTTCAGGGCAGCGAGTGCAGAGCACTTCTCACCTCCCTTGTTCTCATACTCGTTCCTCCCTGCAACCCGGGATCTGAGTCCCAGGTCTTGAAAAGCTTCTCGTGCCTGCTCTCTCTTCACTGATCCAGGGGTTGGACTGGGTTCTTTCAGGACACCCCACCTTCCTACCCCTACCCCCCTTTCATCATCATCTCCAAGAGAAAATGGCCTTAGAAAGCCCAAACACAAAGAAATTTGTAGCTTAGTATTCACGCTGCCCAAAGAAAGCAAAGAATTAGAGATTAACCAGGGCCATTCCTAAAAGAATCCATTTATCTGGCCTGACCTAAATATTTTAAGCAAAAGAGTGTTTGGGTGCAGTCAAGAGGAACACAGTCTAGAGTCACTTGGTAAAATAAAAGTAAATGTGGCCAAAATGGAAGTGGTCTGCTCCGTGTTTATTACCTCTCCCCATCCTATCCCCCATCCCTCCTGGCATCCCAGGACACACGCAGGGCAGTAAGGAGGAAAAAGAGGACAGGAGAACTGGGAAAAATGACTGTACAGACTGTCCTCTAGTTTCCATCATAAATTTTAAAATCCTCCCAGGAATTTTTCATGGCTAGAAGATTATGATTGAATTATATGTTATGTGGGAGAAATATTGGGGAATCCAAACTAAAACAATTGTGCTTCAGAGAGCCTAGAGTACTTATTTTCTTCTGTCAGAGGTCTGGAGGAAGAAGAAGTTACCAGCCTATTGCTTCTTCAGCTGTTTGGAATTTTGGAGGTCTTGTTTTGGGGGGCAGGTAGTTGTGGACAAGATTAAGGAGAAAGGGAGCATGTTTGGGGGGAGACTGACAACCCCAAACACAACACCGGTGCTTTCAGGTAATGGTGCTCCACCCACATGTCTGTCTGTTATCCTTCTACACTGTGAGGTAGCTGGTTTTTTTTTAATCCCATCTTACAGATGATGAGCCACAGACTCAAATGAGTTTCTATGTCATTTATCAGTTTAAAACCCAATGCTGTTTCCACTGTTTTACTTGCCTGTGAGAGGATCTGGAGAGAGTGAGGTGAGGATACTAAACTGGGGTTAAACTGAGGAGGGCGAGAAGGGGCATCAGTGCATTGGGGGAGGGGGAGGGCCATGCCGATGCAAGGCCTGGTGGTGACCCTGGGCTGAAGGGAGTTGGCATCTGATGAGAAGTACCAAAAAAAATAATAATAAGTCTTTTTAAAAAACTTCTCATGTTTCTGGTTGGAAATAGGGACTTGGGATCTGCTGAGGCTCATCCACATGAGATTTAGCATTTGTATGATTAAGCACAAGGGGTTTGTGTTATGAGCATGATGCCCTGTTAGCACGTTTGACCACAGACTCTCCAAAAGGGAATAGATGGGCTGAAGGAACTGGCAGGTTGAGGGTCTACACTCTAGAAAACAAGTATTGCGGTGGAAAGGGGGAAGAGAGGCCAGGAAGATGTGCGGGTGAGGGTGTATGTCAGCCTCGTGTGTGCCTGCAGGTGTGCGGACAGGGTTGTAGGGACTGTGGGCGACTGTGCTTGTGAGCTGTGTGTGGCTGCCTGTGATGTCAGACACTCGGTGGCATGCGGTTGGGCTGTGTGTGATCCAGGGTGGGCAGGGAGGTCTGCTATGTGGTAAGGGTGCCTGGCTAAACACAGGTGCAAATCCGCTAGAAGAACAGACACTCTGGAATTAAGTGGGGGTTTAACCAAATGGAGACATCACAATGACACCACTGAGGCTTTCTGCCTCCCCCAACCTTCACACAAAGCAGCAGCACCTCCAGTTCAACCCAAGATGAGAACTGATGGAATGGTGTGCAGGAAAGTTGGCTTCAAATGGGCTGAGAAGGGCCTCACCAGTTACCAGTTAGGGAATTTCTTTCTTTGTATCATAACACATCTGTCTGTGTCCAAGAATTTTTAGTTCTATTCTTCAGATCTTGCGATATCCATCTATTCCTACTGGAAACCAAATTCTAAGCTGGTTTCTTTCTTTTTTAAAAGATTTTATTTATTTATTTTTAGGGAGAGGGGAAGAGAGGGAGAAAAAAGGGAGAGAAGCATTGATATATGAGAGGTGCATTAATTGGCTGCCTCTCACACGCCCCTAACTAGGGACCTGGCTGGCAATCTAAGCATGTGCCCTGACTGGGAATCAAACTGGCAACCCTTCAATTTGAAGGCTGGCACTCAGTCCACTGAGCCACACCAGCCACAGCCAAGATGTTTTCTTTATACATTTCTGTCCTCAGCCCTTCATCCCAATACCCATTATTGAATTCTGAGTCCAGAAGTTCAAAGGCAACTTCTTCCTAAGTATCTGACTCAGGTTTTGCATTATCACTCATACTGTCATCCAGAGACAAAAGTTTCCTAATTCTAGGCATTGAAAGGGTCTTGTTGAAATGTTCTTCCACAATCATCATAACCAGCAAGCCTGGGGAGGGACAGAAATAGAAAGAGCAAATGTGACTGACCCAAGGTCTGTCTTTGGGGGCCAAAACTTATGCAGATCTCTGAGCCTCAGTCTGGATGTTTATATAACGGGGATAAGAATGTATATACTCAGGTTGATATGTGAAGCAAATAATGAATTCTATATGGAAGATCCTATAATATGCTATAATACCTGTGTATAGAGAGTAATTCTTAGATTGCAGAAGGGTTAAAGGCTACAGTTTGGAACAACTCTTTGAAAGCATGTAATTGATCTCAGAATGCAAAAAAGACATGTCTTCAGCATATTCTTGACTGAGAAGCTCAAAGCACTTAAACTTTAGGAAGTTTATCCTACTTTTATAGCTTTGGGAGTCAAGGAAGGACTCCGGGGACCTGGGTAGTCAGTGTCTGAAGCCTGGGGAGAGGATGAACAGTCTTTGGGAAACATGTTAAGGGAAGAGGTTGGAGTTCACATGGCAGAATGGCCATTGTGTCTTTCTCCTCAATGGATCTTACCACTTGTTTGTGAGAGTACCTATGATTGGTAAAGTGACTTACGTAGATAGATAAGGCATGTATAAATGACAATTCCAAATTTATTCCATTAAGCTTCCACAGTTACTAAAAACACATCTTATTAAATTAAAGGACCAGCCCTGGCTGGTGCAGCTCAGAGGATTGATGCTGACCTGCAAACTAAAGGTTCACCAGTTCAACTCCCAGTCAGGGCACATGCCTGGGTTGCTG